ACATGCCCTGGGAGAACAGAGACATTTCGATCCCTTAACCTATTGATTTCCATTTCTTCAGAGTGCTTCCCATTTGACAGGCAAATTAAAGGGGTAAAGATCGTCATCGAGTTCACTGCCCTCTGGGGCTGTATCTTGCAAGCCTTAATATTGGCCCGGGCTTAGCAGCTTGTGAAGTTTGAGAGGAGTTAGCTGAATTGGCTTCAATAATTGCTGCACCAAATGAGAAATCCTGCGGTCACGAGGGAGCGCGCTGGCCCTGGTGAATGCTTTATTCTTCATTAGCATCCTGTCATCCAGCCCCCTCCACTTAGGATTTTGTTTGCATTTGTGATAAACTTCTATTTTCAGGAGCTGATCGCTTGGCTGCAAGAATTCTCTGGTGACTGAAAGTTGGTATAAAATGTCTCTGCCTGGAGAGCAATTAAGATGATTAGAAAATATGGATAAAATCTGTTCCTTTTACTTAGATAATGCATAGTACGAAGACAAAGGGATAAGTGTATGTAGGTGCTTGTTATGCCCCTATGATTAAAAGGAAAAAAATCTCTATATGTAAAGTGTGTAGCTCGTTAGTTCTGGCTAGGATTTAGACAGTGTGTCAGGTGGCTCCTGCTTTGGGTCTTCAGGAAATTCTTTCCCTCCCCGCAGTGGGTTCCTGACTTCGTGCGAGGCCGAGCTGCAGGAGCTGATGAAGCAGATTGACATTATGGTGGCTCACAAGAAATCCGAGTGGGAAGGACAGACGCAGGCCTTGGAGGCTTGCTTGGATGTTCGGGAGCAGGAGCTTGCCTCTGCCAGGGCTGCTTTGGAAGAGAAATACAAGGAGGTACTGCCTCAATTCCCTGGTGCCTGGTCAGCAGGGTCCCTTGGGTTTTACGTGTTATAATTCAGTATAAGGACTGGTGTTGACTTTGCACAGAGGTTGTTGTTTCATCAGAATGGGTTGTTTTTTGTTGTTTAAAGTCAAAATACGGTGTTAAATTTTGCATATAGCTGTGTTAAGGGCAACAAGAACTTATCATTTGTGTTTCCTCTAGGCATTTTTTGAAATATTTCTTACCATCAGAAACATTTATGTAAAAAAAACAACAACAACAACAACAAAAAAAACCCTGTAAAGTATGGTTAAAATCACTACAAGAGTATATTCATGCTTTTGGTTTATTCATAGGGTCTTTTTTGTGGTTATTTCTTGTAAGTCTGTTGTGTATTGTTTATTGGATTTTGCAATCTTTTGGGTCTGCAGTTAGGAAGGTGGCTCTCCTGTGGGCAGGAGAAGGATGAAAAGCAGATGAAAATGAGTCAAAAGAGCATTTGAATCAATGTAAGTCAAGTCCTCCCCCATGAGTTTCAAAGCCCCCATTTGTCCTTCAGCTCCAGGTGTTACCTAGAGCGCTCTGCCTCACCTGGGAGCATTGAGATAACGCTGTGGGTCTTGTGTGTCAGTAGATAGTTTGTAATCACAGTGTGTATCTAGGAACAATGTGATGGAAATGCCACATCAAAATACCGAAAACGAAATCCAGGAGGTGACTGGTTCAAAGCCAAAGCTCTCGTTTTATTTCTTTGCCTTTCAATGGCTCTATTTAGGTCGGCATGCTACGTCAGCAGTTAGAAGACTCGGAAAAAGCCAAACAGGACATGGTTAGAGAATATGAACAGCAACTGAAGAAATTTCAAGAAGAGGTGAGTTTCAGAAAAATGAATTTGTTTTTTCATTTCCAGGTGATCTGATAGGTGAAGTATTTTATGTCACTGCCGTGGTTTTCAACCTTTCCATTCTTTTAATCCATTCTTTTATTCTTTATGCTCCTACAAGGGTGAGTTGAGTGCAGACAAAATAATGGTTTTTGCTTCAGTAGCCATGTTTCTCTTGTGCTGGAGGACCTTGGTGATGAACAGGCAGCTGCTGGAGTGGAAAGCTGTAGTAAATGTATTGTTGCAGTTTGCATCTGCACAAATGTACGGCCAAAATCTCCTGCGTTCTCCCACCCTATGCACCAAAGTGCTTATGCTGAAGTTGCCATGGGTACAGGAAGCAGCAGTTTGTTCCCTCAGCATTGCAGAGAATTAAAAAAGAGTGATGGTGAGGCTGGCCTTGATCATGTGAGGAAAACATGAGATGGATATGCAATCTGGCCCTGCTTTTTGCCCCTGTTTATTCCTTCCGGGCCTAGGGATTAAGGCCCGGGCCCTAACTCTGCCCAGTTTCCACTTGCTTCTCAGGAGCAGGGAGTTAAACAGTAGAGCATGGACCTGCTTTCTCTGGAGGGGCTGGCTTGGTTCCTGCTTGCTGTAAGGCATAAGTTAAACTAATTTTGTAGTTTCAGCTTTGACAGCAGAAGGCATCTGTCCTCGTTTAAAATACCTTACTGCTCAGGATGATTAACTGTCCTCATTCATTAAGTGTTCCTGCCAGAATAACGGGTTAGCTGTAAAGCAAAGTTGAGATGCATTGGCAGGTCTGCCCAGATTTCTCTAGTGGAATTATTATTTAATATTTGGCTTATTATTTAATTAAAACGTATGTCTTGGGGCCAAAAATGTTGGTATTTTATCAATGTAGAGGACGTTAGTTTCCCATTTCCCTTGATCTCTTGTTCTTAGCACTCTTTGTGGGCAGGTTCTTCCTGCTTCAGTTTACCACCGTTACCAGTAAATTGCACGTACAATTCCCAGCTCGGCTGTTACAAGGATAAATCAGTACCTGCAGTCTTCCTGGGTGGTTTAAAACATGTCATATATTAATCGTGAGCCCGTACCTCTGCGTTCCCCTTGAACATCCCAAGTGCTTTGCTGCCTCAGGGCTCTGGAGCAGCTTTAAGGAAGAGAAGTCAGCTTTTGTGACCAGTGCGTGGGGCCCTTCACTCAGATGTTATCTTCTCTTTCACAGTCATCCTCCTCGTCTGTGCACGTAGCTTTCTTCATCAATAAAATGGGAATGCTGATTCCTCAAATTCCTGTTGGCATCCTGCAGTCACTGTGTGGTTTATCTGAGCAGGAAATGACAGATGAGAGTGTGGCTATTACGTGTAATGGCAGTGCTCAAATCTGCCTTCTCTGGCGGGCCCTGCCATGGCTGGGAGGCGTCTGCAGAGAGCGCAGTGCCACCCTTGGCTGCAGCAGCCACTGCCCAAGCCTCCCTCTTGGCAATTGCTTAGTCTGCCTTAATACTGATAAGGCAGAGGTTTAGTTGTAGCTGCTGATGTCATGGCTGAGAGTGGCATTTTGCTCCTTGTTTGTCCAACTTGGCATATTTTGTCTTTATGTTGGATATAATAGTTTATATAAATAGAAGTCTTCACTTGCAAAGCACGTGGCCTTGATTTGAAGGAATTGTTTGCATTGAGCCATTCTGTGTGCCTTTCTTCAAGCTGCTATTTAATTCTTGCAGCACCAGACTCAAACAGTGTAGTCTTATTCACTGCCTTCCTTGCAGCTGGCCAGGCTGAGGAGAAGCTACGAGAAGCTGCAGAAGAAACAGCTGAAAGAAGCTAGAGAACAAGGTGCCAGGAGAGAAGAGGAGGAACAGTTAGAAATGAGCCGGCTCACCAGGAAGCTGGAGGTATGTTGTTAGAAAGCAAGCACTGATCAGGGTCCGTGGTATTAACTGCTTGGCCTTCAGTGAGGACTCTGAATGCTCAGCCAGCAAGAGGGCACTGAATCCTCATTTAAAAACAAAAAAAATCTTTGGCTATTCAAGGTTAGATTTTCTCAGCAGCTTGTGTAATAGAGACAGGTTTTTGCATTGGGGCCTGTAAGTGCACAGGAGAATTCATGCTGCTGTTCTTGATCTCAGACTAAATAAAAGGAAGAAGGCGCTGGAAGAATAATTAATTATGTGAACAAAATGAATTGCAGTGTGAAGAGGTTGTCATCTCACTGCTCTGAGGGGGAGGGAACCACATATCCAACTCCTTTTCAACTCCATCTCATCTTTTAATCTTCCTGCCATGCTGAGCTCAACTGCACCCAATTTTCTTCAGCGCTACCCTTTAGTAGGGGCTAACAAACACATCTGACTGATGTAGAGTCCAATTCCTGGATCAAAGATCAGCATTAAAATTCTGTGTTTCATGCTTGCCATCTTAGTGATTTCCATAACAGCCCGTGCAGAAGCTGGAGCCAGGCTGAGCTGCTAAACGGCTGACAGCAGCCTGAGGAAGCCGGCCGGGAGTCTGCTGGCACCGAATGGTTGTAAACAGCCATAACTGACACTGAGGTGTTAACCCGGGGGGAGGAGAACCTGAGGCAACGCCGTGCAAGAGGGGCTTGGTGCTGCTGAGCTGCTGCATCCAATGCCTGGCTAAGGATGTGTGCGGTTACGGCAGCGGGAGGAGGCAAACACGGGTGCCACCTGGAAGGGGGTTGCCCTCCTGGGCGGGTGCTCCCAGCCACCCCTGCTGTCTTTGCAGGAATTCCGTCAGAAATCCCTTGCCTGGGAGAAGCAGCGCCTGCTCTACCAGCAGCAGGTGGCATCCCTGGAGGCGCAGCGGAAGGCCCTGGCCGAGCAGTCCGAGCTCATTCAGGTACTTGTTTCGTTGGTGGGGAAGGTGGAGAGACGTGAAATCTCTGGGGCTTGAATCCAGCTTAGGTTGCTACCGAAGTGGCGGAGTAAGCTCTGCTCATAAACGCTGAGAAGATCCAGAGTCTGTCACAGAGGTTGGCCGAACGTCCCCGGCTCTGCCCTCCCGCTGCCCCTGTTAACTTGTCCCACTGGTGCAGGCAGCCGTGGCATGGAGCTTGGTGCAAGAGCCACAGGCCACAGCAGTGACCCTGACCCTCCAACATAGCTGCTACCTCGTGCCACGTTGTACCTGGCGGCAGCTAAATACGGCTTTGAGCTTCAGCTCAGGCGATGGTGCTGGAAAATGCTTTTCCCTCCCAACAGATATCCACAAAGCACCAAAGCAACAGCAATTTTGAGCCCCCCACCACATTTTGCCCCCTCTCTTGCTGTTCCTGCACAGCTTGGGGTTCAGTGAGTTGGCAGAGCCGAGTGAATTGACCAAGAGCACAGCCGTGTAGCCCCACTGACACCATCACAGCAGCCGCTGATGAGAAGCTCTTGCTGGGGCCTTCACACTTAATAGGCTCCCGGGTTGCTCTCGAGTCAGGGCTCCTGCGAGGAGGAGGCTGGTGATGACAGGATTGAAGCAGCCTCTGACAGGGGCTGCGCAAGCGGCTGACGCGAGTAAATCCGCAAATGCAGAGGGAGCCTTTGAACAGAAGGTCTTGCTGCTTTGCTGTCTTTGTGTCACTGATAGCTCAATTGTCTGGGAACAGATGTGTCCTTGGAGCGCTGGCTGCGGCGCCCGCTCACGCGGAGACTCTCTCCTCGCTGTGGAGCAGAAGAACAGGAGTCGAGGAGACTTTTCCCAGGCAGCGCAGGCGGGCTGGTGCATGGTCGCCCTGAGCAGCCTGTCTGAATCCTCAATTTCTCTGTAAAGCCAAGCATGCAGGAACTAAATCTCTCTCGCATGTTTCCATGCTCTTTATCTGCTTGATTCATAATGCCTTTTGGCACAAGGTCAAGTTGAGATGTCTGATCCTGGGGTGCATTAAGATAGCGTGGATGTTGTCTTAGTGCAGAAACAAATATTCAGGTAGTCCAGTTTCTTAGGCTGAAAAAAACCCTTATATTTTAAATTCTTGCCCTGCCTTATTACATCTTCTGACTCAACTATTCAGATAATGAAAAGGCTGTAATCAAAATTATACCATAGTCTTCCAAACATGCAGTTCCTATAGTTTTCTCTGTTAGGAGGCATTATATGCTGAGCGATAAATAAGCGAGTGCTGATTCTGAGGCTGACAGGAATTGCTACTCTTAGCAATTGATAACAAAGGAGTACTCAAATATTTTGTTTCAGCCTTTAAAAAAATACAGGCAGCTACACAAAAAGAGTAGGTACAAAGTAAATTTTCTTAGAAAGCTTTGAGAGCTGGCTTGTGAAACTTTATCAGGTAGTAAAGCGGAGAGAAATGCTATGAAATAAAGCATTGTGCCTATAAATAATAGTGCTATATTGTTTGCTAGTCACACGTTCCTTATAAGTATTACTCTTTTTTTAAAAAAAATCTTCCATTAAAAGGATAAAGTATTGAAAGGCAGCAGGCTATTAGAAGCAGATATTTGCTGCATAAAGCAAAGCATAGTTGACTGCTGCACTCAGTTCGGCTTCCAATTTGTTAGATGCCCTCCCTCTTCCCTTGTGCCCTAAGAACTGCTCGCTGTCCTGCGTGGAATTAATGGTTGGATTATCTCTAGCTTGTATACGATGAGTGCAAACCTTCTAACTTGCTGTTGTCTCTCCAGTCTTGGGTTAATGGTCAAAAAAAACCCAAAAAACCAAGCAGCTCTGTTTCCAGTTCATATCTTGGCAACTTGAGCTATTTCAGTGAGGCCCTCTTTTCCCAAATCCTGCTTGAACCCTTTTGGAGCTGGAGGGACCTCTCCATTTTACTATTTTTTTAATTCTATCAATTTGGGAAACCTTTACTCGTCTCGGAACCCTGAAACAATCTTCCCCTGGATCCCTGAAAGATAGATCTGCTTGTTCTGAGCGGGTTTGCAGAACAAAGAAATCGGTGTAAAATCCACGCGGTTTTGATGCGCTGTGCTTTGTGTAGTTTAGCCTTAATCCCAACCAATTGCTGTTAGCAGACTCAGCTTGCCAGTCGGAAGCAGATGCTGGAGTCGGTGGAACTGGCAAGCCGATCGGAAATCCAGCACTTAACCAGCAAGCTGGAGAGGGCCAATGATGCCATCTGTGCCAATGAGCTGGAGGTGGAGAGACTTAACATGAGAGTGGACGATCTCACTGAAAACAATCGGATGATTCTGGAAGATCAGCAGAGAGTTCAAGAAGAATTAAGGCAATCCAAGAAAATGTTAGAGGTCAGTGGAGGAATTGTTAGGGACCTGAATGTAAAGCAGGGCCTCTGAGAAGCAGCAGGAAGGGTTGTCATCCCAGAACTCCTGTCTCTCTCTAGAGCCTTTGTAAAGTTGCAGGATGCCCTCAAAGCTGACTCTGTGGTACCTGTGTGGTGCTCCGCAGCATTTCCAAATGCTTCTTAGAAATGTGATCAACTTCTCATCTCGTTAGAGTAAACGGATTTTTTCCCGCCTTGCAGCACTCATTGCCTCTCCTCCCTGTGCAGGTGTTACAGGATGAGAAGATGGAGCTGAGAGCCACCTTGCAGTCCCAAGAGGATTTCATTGATAGCTCCAAGCTGCATCAGGAGCAGTTGCAGAGCGAGCTGGCCCGGCTCAGTGAAACTCTTCGCACAAAAGAGCTTGTCATCAGGTAGCACTCGTGCCGCCCCAGTGCTTCCCCTCTCGTGTCACCCAGGCATCTTCAGTCAAGTGGCGGAGGCTTTTCCGGGCTTGAGTGTGTACCTAGTGATGCCAGGGAGAATTCTCGGCAGTTTGGTGATGTCAGGTCAGGGCGTTGGTAACGTAGTCATGCGGGTGGCAGGGTTGTCCCAACCTTCCCGTTGTGCAGTGGCAACGTGCGGACGCTAGAGCGTTCTGGTGACCGTGCCAGGAGTGCAGGTGTGCCTTGGCCAGCAGCCACGACACTTCTTTCACGTGGTTACTGGGTGTCTGATAATGGCAGCGAAACCCTCTGTTTCAGAGAGGCCAACACGAAGACAGACTGTAGCCCTGCATCAGCCTGAGTTCCAACAGGGAGCTGTCCCTGAGCTGACATGTCTGTGTGTTCAGAGTGTGCACAGGTGTCATCTAGTGTCAGACTTCAGGAATTTCCAGAGAATTATGAGGAAACAGTTATCTTCTGTGTATGAGTGAGGTGTTTTGTGTTGAGATTGAAGCCTGTGTCTCTGCACAGGGCCTTAGAAGAGCACTTGCAGGAGAGACAAGCATCTTCTCCGGGGCTGGAGCATGTCCTGCTGCAGCTGGATGTTGCCCAGAAGAAGGAGCAGCACTTACAGTCAGAGGTGACTCAGCTGGAGAACAGGTAGCTGACTGTTTACTTCCCGGGGATGCACAGTGAAACTTGATGAATACAGTTTATTATGTATTACGTTATGCAAGTTCACCAGGCCCACTGATTTCTGTAAGCTTATTTTAAATATCAAAGGCCTAAAGAAATGAAATGCTTTTCATTTTGAAGTTTAATAGTGAGACTTTTGCTAATTGGTTGCTTTTCATTGTGTACTGTGGGTGGTTTTATTTTATTTTTGCTTACTTAGGCTCTTAGCACCTTCATCCTTAATAGATTAAGGAGTCTCTGTTAGCTTATAGACACCAGGTCTAGGCCTTCCTCTTGAAATGAGAATTATTAGAAATTCTTTTTGCTGAGTTTGTGGTCCTGATTAATATTTGCCAAGGAGTTTGTTAATTTTATTAACAAAACAAAACAATGGTGAAGGAGCAAGAAACAACTATATCTGCTAGATCTGGTTCTGCTTTTTGAAGATGATTTTGGTGCATGAACCCAAAGAATCAGTAAGGAACTTCTATGTAAGAGTCCAATTTCTGTTATGACAGACCCTGGAGCCTGCTTGGATGATCAAAGTTTCTTCTGACCATATTCTCTTCTTGAGGAATTCTAATCTCTAGCTCTATGTTTGGCATCCAGCCTGGTGTCTTCAAATGCGAGGTGTGTGCAGCTGAGTGAAGAGCTGGCTGAGAATATCAAAGAGCTGCAGTCGATGGAAGAGCATCATAGTGACTCAAAGGCAGAGATTAAAAAGGTAACGCGTCTTTGTTCCTGGAGAGTGGGAAAGGCACCCGTGGAGTCAGTGAGGCAGAGATCCCTTGGTTCAGTTTTTCGAAATACTTTAAATCCTTAGCAAAAAATGGGTTTGGGTGGTTGGTGCTTCTGGCTAAAGGAGTGGAAGGTATTTTCTGTATGTTGTTCTGTTACAATGCTGAGTAAGTGTGTGGAGTGCCTGCCAGAATGCTGCCTGTTCATCTCAAAAGGAACACAAGGGAGGGTACGGAAAAAGATGACCCAAAAGTTGGAGTTGTACGTGCACCAGGAATAGCTGGATAGAGTAGGACTTAACACACTGGGGAAGAGATAACTGAATATTCAGAAAGAGAAATCATTTGTGTCGTGAAGGTAAATAGGGAATGATTATTCCCTTGTGTGATACAGAGATTAGTTATCATCAAATGAAGTTATGAAAACAGAGGTACATTTTTACTGTGTGCATAGCTAATCTGTGGAAATTTGCCATGGGTAACTTTGAATGCTGCAAGTTAATATTGGTTCAAAAGGTTGGGTAAATTTTATGGAAGAGAAGTCCACTCAGGGCTATTTAAAGATACCATCTCTGGCTCAGGAAGGCAGAGGGGCAAATTGCAAGGGGATGTAGTGGAAGTAGCACTGCGCTTGCCCAGTGTTTACATCTTGCCTCAGTTTTCTGTTGCTGACAGATGAGACAGAATGCGGACTAAAGGGAACGTGGTTTGATCCATTACGTGTTGTCTCAAGTTCTCCACAGTGTGTAACTTGCATCCTGCATCCAACGGCAGTTTATGGTGTGGAAAAGGGACGGGATGAGGTGGTTATCAATCAGGAAGGACAAGCGTGCACAGGAGGATTGTTACATAGAGCTTTTTGTTTTCCAGTGCTTGGATTTCGCGGGACCATGTCCAATGTGATTGCTTGCTTGTTGAAACATCTTTTAAAGTCTCTTGGGTGCTGTGTGTGTATCTTCCCCCAGCTGAAAGAGCAACTCTGTCAAACTGAGCAAACTCACAGCAGTGAACTGGAAGGCATGAAAAAGGAAATCTCCAAGTTAACACAGGAGCTGCACCAGCGGGACATCGCGATTGCATCAAAAAGCGGCTCCACGTCGGACCTGGAGCACCGGCTGAGAACAGAGATCGAAAGAGCAGAGAGGAAGGCAGTGGAGCACAGGGTAAAAAATGCAGGAGACTTGCACTGCCTCTTTAAGAGTCTGAGGGCTTGCAAAACATCGTGCCTTTTAGCTATGCTAATGGTTTCCCTCTGTCTTCAGTCTTAGAACAAAGACTTTAAAGAGCCTCCTAGTGAAATCCTCCCATTTAAGATGTTTGTTACGGCTGTCTCGCCTCTTCTTCCCAAACCTGTAACTGTTTGGCAGTCTTGCAGGTTTCTTTGACACAGCTTGTGATAACTAGGTCAGATGATGGCATCTTTGAAAGCTGAAAGCAAATGACTTTGCACAGTTACTTCTATGGTCTCTCTATAGGCTTGCAGGAATAACAGCCCCAAACTTGTCTGTAAGGTGTAGTTAGGCTTGAAGCTTGAACAGAGGGTGGAAAATTGTTGTAGTGGGTGGGCAGGGTGTGTTGTGTTTGTGGCTGTTTGGGGGGGTTGTTTTGCCCTTTTTTTTTTTTGAGCTTCTCTTTGCCTCTGTTTCTTCAGGTAATTCTGGTTCAGCTGGAAACCCTGAGGCTCGAAAACCGTCACCTCTCGGAGATGCTGGAGAAAATGGAGTTCGGGATGGTGGAGGTATGGATGAGGGCATAGAGATGGGAAGGGGCTAGCACCCTTCTCTAGACCTCTTAACGCTAGGTAAAAAGGCCGGTTTGTAAGGAAAATAAGGCTCAAAAATACTGAGTTTGGAGTGGTAGTGAAATGTGCCAAGTTTTCGGGGAGCTGCTGTGTGGAGGTCTGTGGCCAGTGAGCGGGAGGAAAAGCAAAACTTTCTGGAGGGCCCATTTGAGATTGAGGTGACCTAAAGATCGTTGCCTCCTGCTTGAAGTCTTGTAAGTCACTGCCTGGCTTAAAAAAGTTTGATAATGAGATGTAAACCGAGCAAACTGCTTAAAACAAGAACAATTCCTCCCCACACACAGCCCCAAGGCCCCTGTGAGGCTGCCTTGGTAGGATGTGGAACAGTTCGTGCTGCAGATTCTGGCTAGGTTTTTCAAATGCACATTTAAAAAGTCCTTACATACAGCTGGGATGAGCATGAATTAAGCATTTGGATATAACAGAATGTGCAAAAAAAAAAAAATGTGAGTGGGAAGTCACAAGAGTAGAAACAGTGGAAAATTGTACCTACCTGGCCTGGTAAGGAGAAGAGATGGGGAGAAGAGAAGCAAGTTGCTCACAGTTTCCAAAAAGAGAGGGAAAAAAAATCACATTTCTACCAGTGAAAGTTGCTTGAGGCAGACTTGTGAAATTGCGGAATGTCTAAAATAGCTCATGAAGTTCTGGAAAGGCTTGGGACTGGTGATTCCAAGTTGCAGATGGATTTTTTTCATCATGTGGGTCCAACCGTGAACGCGTGCTCTTCTGAGAGCAGCTGGGGCTGTGAAGCCGGACAGCCATTCTCTTCATCATCAGTAACGGGGCAGTGGTGTATGTTGTTCACGTGAGTAATTTTAGAGCAAGTTTGTCTCAAAAAATCTTTACCCTGAGTGTAGAGGACCCACCGTTTCCTGTGTCAGTTCTGTTTGCTATGACAGGATATTTCCGAAGGGTTATGGCTCATCCCAACTGGGGAGATGAATGTGCAGCCTTTGGTAGTTATTACTCCGGGCCTTTCCCAGTTTGGGTAACGGCATCTGGAAGTATTCTAGCAAGCAGCTTTGTTGCTAGATCAGGTGAAAGGTGGTTTCTCACTGAGGGTGGTTACATCCCATGAACAGCTAAGCCACTGGAGCAAGTGCTTCTCTGCATCCCTGGGAGGTATCTGGTGGAACGTGTGGCTTTGGGGCACTCCAGCGAACACGTGTGTCTGAAGAGTTGTTCACACTTGCACCTTTTGTTTGGATGCCACCTGAGTATTCCCAGCTTTGGCTGTGAGGCTTCCCCCTAGTGATATGAGAAAATCCTGGAGCAGAATTTGAGGTCATCTATTCCATCTCATTATCCCAGTGCCAGAGACAGGGACATCTGAGTTATTCTTGGTCTGTATTTTTCTGAGTGTTTTTAAAAACATCTAATAAGGAGACTTTCTAGGCAAATTAACACAGCCTGTATGGGTATAGACATAGTAAGACATGTATAATTGATTTGCTCTTAGAAAAGCCTTGACAAAATTGCCAGTTAATATAGGATACACTTTAAGAAATCACTTACCAACTCTGCTCTGAATTTCCCTATGGTGTCTCATAAAACAGAAGTTTTGACTTTAGCCCTTTGCTCTCTCTCTTTCAGGGAAAAGAAGTCACCCTGAGAGCTCTCAGAGAAGGCTATGCTGCTGAACTGAGTAAATTAAAATCTGAGAACCTGCAATTGCAGAAGGATCTAGCAGAGGCTAGAGCAAAACTGCAGCCCTCAGCTCAGGTCTGCCCGGATGAACCTCAGGTCACTGCTCAGCAGATACAGAGTGAAGAGCCCGAGACCAGGGCTGTCCAGTGCAGGTGAGTGTTGGGTGACCCAGGAATCCTGCCTCCTCTTTAGGGAAGACAGGAGAGGACAGGTAGCTGTGTGGGTTTCCCATGCCACGTGCCATGTGTCGAGCATCTGTCCCCAGCACCCAGTGCTTATGGGAGAACGTAGAGAGCTGGTTTGGGTTGCTGGGGCTAGCAGTGAGCTGTGTTAATTGTTCTCTCTGTGCAAGTTCTTGCTGAAGTTCAGCTGCCAAGTGTCAAACTGTCAAGCAGTTGTGCTTCCAAACCTGCCTTCCAGGACACCTCGGGAAGCACAGCACGAGGAGCAAACAGAGAAACTGCGTCATGGACCTGACAGGAGTGTCCAGCATCATCCGGGGCAGTCACAGAGACAGCAAACCCAGCCTTTCCCTGCGACCTCCGAGAGCGGGGAGCCCCCTGCCCAGATGAGCCGCAGGGACGGTGTGGAATCTCCTCCTTCTGATGCCCTGCTGGGAGGAGATTCTTTGCTCCTTGTGCTGGACGGAAATGCGGGTTTCACTGATGAAGCGTCTAGGCAATCTGTGCTAAGTCTTCAGAGAGAATCCGTGCCTTTGGTAAGTGCTGGTAGGGAAACTCATGGATGCTCCTCAGTGGCTGATGGGTCAGTTAAGTTCTCATCTGGCAAAAAGAACCAGGTTTTTGAAATTGCGGTCTGGTGCTGTGACGTGTGTGCCTACAGCTGAACCCAAACCAGGGAGAAAAGCCACTCGTGGGTGGTTAAACCTTGAATGGCGGGAATCATGTGATTCTTCTTCAAAACTCTGAGGGTAAAGCCTTTCTGTTTGGTGTAACTGCTAAGTGAAGTCCAGAGGTGCAGCCTTAGATGCTTCGGGCTGTCATATTTCTCTCCATACTGCAACTGTATCTCCAGGTCTGCTGCGATCTGGTTCTGTCACTTCAAAATGCTGCTTGGGCATTTGCGTTGAGTCTGCAGCACAGGCTTAGATAGCAAAATGGTGTAGAGTGCAGACTATTTGAACGTACAGTTTCTGGGGAAAAGAGCTGTTTTTCATTTTGTGGGGAGCCCAGAGAAGCCTCCAAAGCTGATAAGCAGAGGCTTGGCAGGTTAGCAGATCTTGATGAGATTTATTACCAAAAGTAGATGTTTATCCTTTCAAGGCTAAAGTCATTTGGGATGTGTCCAGAAAATGAATTTTAGGAGCCTGTATGTGTTATCACAGTATGTTTGAGGTTAGAAGGGACCAATGGAAGCTCTTCAGATGGTTTTAACAGTTCTGCTTCAAGGCCCAAGAAGCTCAAGGACTTGATATTTAATAGAAAAGAAGGTGTTGCTTTGTCTTCTGTATGGTCTGAGTGGTAGAAATGAGCTTTCTGAGGACAGGCAGGGTAATAAGGGGATGAGGGAGAATTGCTCCTTTTCCCCAGCCTTGTTTCCAGTTCCCTTTGTTCCTGTGACTTGGTAGAAATCCAGAAAGCCATGAATCTCCAGAGTTGGAAAACAACCAGTTTGGTTCCCTTGCCAAGATGCTGAGGCAAGTTTTCTGTATGAGAAAGCAGCTCCTCAGTAACTTCGTAATTCACCTGCCAGCGCCTGTGCAGGAAGCTCCTCTTCTTCTGCTCCTAAATTAGATTTAATTGTGATATTGTTCTTGTAAGTTCAGAACCTGTGGGTGTTCAGAAGAGGCGAGTGGCAGGAATAGCTTTTGCCTGCACGGGGAAGATTCTAGGGTAATTTATCGATCATTACGAGCGGGATTGGAGTGGCGTTCAGTGGGCTGTGATGGGAGTTCAGCTTGTACTTCACACGTGCGAGTGTGGCATAAACCTGTTATTTCAAGAGAGGAAGCATTTACAAGAAAGCCGAGAGCTCCTCGGTGCTAGTCCAGCTTGGCAGGGCTTTCCCTCCTTTCGCTGCGGCGGAAGACTTGCATAGGGGGCAATGGTTTGGTTTTACCCTCCGCAGTTTTGGGAAGGCAGGGAAGGCTTTCTGGGTTTGTAGGAGGCTACCGAGAGGGCTGGTCGAGTGCCTGGTCTGTGCATGTAGGACAGAAATGACACAGCATCCCCTGGCTAGCATGTGTACTTGCCAGTTTCGCTCATCCCTGCTGTACTTGGCTGTGAAACTTGGAATGCGAGAATACCAGATATCCACTTCTGCATAGAACTTTATAGACTTCTATACCATTTTCTGGAGACAGCCAGGCAGCCTTACTATCTTCTCGTTGTTGTCTGCCATTCTGCAAAGTAACTGCCTGGTGTAATCCTGAGTGCGACTCTGGAGCACGACTTTTAAGGATGGTTTTCCTTGATATCTTCCAGTCTAGGTGCTTTTGAAAACGTTGTCTGGTGCTGGCAGGATTTACCTTCCAGAGTCAGCATGCCATTATTGTTGCCCTTTGAAAATGTTAGTGGTTTCAGCTAACCCCTATGAATGTAGTAGATTATGAACCTAAAAGTTCTGTGTTGTTGATGCTTTCATTGCTCCTTGAGTATTTTGGTGTGTAATGGCTTATGGTCTCTATAGTTACAGTTAAATCTGCTGTCTTTTCCTTGATGTTCTAATGGCAGGATGTGTTTTGAAGCTTCTTGCTGGAGTTTTCTCTGCTCATCAGCCCTATTAATATCTACTTCTCTTTAGTGCCCCCTGCCTACAACTTCAGTTGGATCAATAGCTGCAAGATACCTGGAAGAGGAGGAGCTGAGATCCCAGCACATCCTGAAACGCCTGGACACCCACATTGAGGAACTAAAGCGAGAGAGCGAAAAGACAGTGAAACAGTTTGGACACCAGGAGTAATGGTGGTTTTTTTCCCATAGTCATTGAATTCAAACTTTTTTTTTTTTTTTTTACTTAAATGACTTAAAAGTGCGAAGGGGAAGGTGCCCATGAACCAGCTGCCCTTGGAGCTTGGGTGGGAGGGCTGCCCTGCCCCGTGGAGCGGGGCCGGGCGGGTGGCGGGAGCTCCCCGCTCACGTCTGCTCTACGGAGCTGCCCCTGCGCCTTGGAGCGGGTTGGGAGGCTCCGGAGAGGGGCCTGTGTGCACTCTGTGTACATTTTAATGTAAAGTATTTAAGGTATATTTTATACATGTAAAAGCATTGAAATAAAACAAAATGAGAAAGGAACCCTTTGTTCTTTCCTACAGAGGGACATCTCTTGCGGCCTGTGCTGCCTTCTCACCATTGGCTCTTTTTCCAACCCTCCAAGAGTAGCAGTACTCTTGAGAGGAAGACGTACGTGATTCCTCTTCCTTTGGCCAGCTGTATTTTCCCCAGTTCATTTGTTCCTGTAGTAGAATTTCATAGTATTTCCTGGTTAATCTCACAACTTCTGCCATTTACTGTTTTCACACTCTCTAGCTTCTTCATCTCGCTTTCCTGTTGCATGAAGTACAGTGAATTCCGGAGGGATGAATGGCTGCGTTCTGTGGTCACAGCTCTTGGAAAAGAGGAGTAGGTGGAACTGAAAATGAAAGGGAGCGGGTGGGGAACCGCACGCGCGCGATTCGCCCCCACGCCAGCTGTAATTGCAGCTGCTGCCTAAGCCGGTATCGGCCTGATACGGATCTAGTGTCTCAGGCATCGTGCCGTGGGGTGAACTGCTGCCTGAGCATACGTTCTGTGACCTGTTTGGGGATATATGCAGCCTTCTCTTAACAAAAATAAGTCGGTAATGAGTGAACTGAACCCATTTCCAATGGATTTGCCTTTCTCCAAGTGGGATTCTGCAGCTCTTCCCATGGCTCTACCTTGCAACCTCCATGCAGGCAAAATGAGGCATAGAGACATTCCTTGTCCTGAGTTTAATTTTCCTGTTCTTTTCCCTCACCCTCCCCTTGCCCTAGAGCAGCTTCATGCTGATGAGAAGCAGGACTTCGAAAGCAAGATAGGCGTAAAAAAAAAAGCAACCATTAGGTTGGGCTGCTTCATGGAGCAGAGGTGGCGATGCCTGTCTGCAATCCGTGTCACACCGCGCGCACGGCTGCACTTTGCCCAGGAATGCTGCCTCCTGGAGCCGTAAAACACGGGGGTGGATCTTGCAGGCACTCAGCATTGGCCGCGGCTTCTGCGCAGAGCTGCCCACCAGTAAGTGTCTTTTTGGAACATACACCTGAAATCTCCTGTGCTCAAGTACGGACCTGTTTGCCCTGAGGCCTTTTGACAAGGTTCAGTGGCAAAATAGAACAAACTGCTGTTTCCCCTTCCCATGTGAATCTGTAGATTCACTGAGTGCGCTTGTGTTCCTCAGCTGTGACAGCAATATGTTTTTTTTTAATGATACCTTTAGAATGTGTGAGAGCTGTTTTACATTTCTTGAAGACTTAGAAGTTACTGAGAGTTGCATCATGCCCTGTTTTCAGACATTTAAATGACACTTTGACTCATTAGTAAGGTTTGCTTCCCTAATCCCTCTTTTTAGCGATATTTGACAGTTCATCTTGTCAGAAGCGAGGCGTGAAACGAGATGATCCATTTGTTCAATTAGCTGCCGTAATCCTACAGTATTTGTTGAACTCTAATACAGGTAATAAACAGCTCCATTCGGGGAAGAAAGTAGGAATTGGATCTAAAGCAACTGAAGAGTAAAATTTGCAGCAGGGGAGCTGTGTGTCCAGATTGCAGTGATGGTCTCTTCCTGTCCTCCCCGTGGCAATGTTCTGTCTCTCTTGCTCTGATGCAGCCTCTTCCATTTTCTTAAAGGTCAGGTAGAACATTTAGGTGAAGGGCCAGGAATACACATACATTTTAAATGGTGAACTAAGGTTTTTCTTTCTAAAAACACACACATTTCCCTGTGGGTGAGCGTGTTACACAGCTGCCTTTCAGGCATGGCGGAGGGGGCAGCTGCGGTCCCTCAGGAAGAGCTGGAAACGCGGGCTCTTGCCTTGGGCAGTCACTGCTTTGCAGAAACGGCGGAGCAGAAGGTAAACTGGGGCTGAGCGGGTACCGGGCTGGAACCAGGAGGCTGCAGTCTCTGTGGTAAGTCCTGCGTGCAGGAGGCAGAACGGCCTTGTCTCGGGCGTGGAGATGGGGGGACAGTGCTCCTGGGGCGCACACGTGGCCAAGGGCTGATTTTTTTAAGCTGTCCTAGCGATGCCTGCTTATGTATTCCCAGGAAGAGGGCTGGAAGGTTACAGGGTTCCTAGCAAGTAGAAATGGGCTGGAGACCACATCTGCCTCTCCAGCAACCTGTGCCCCCATGGAAGCAATTGCAGAAGGTCTTTTAGGCGGAGGCTGAGGGACACTTGCCAGGGATGGAGAGGGTCGGGTCACCCTCATCGCGCGAGGGCGGTGGCTGCGGATCCGCGCGCTCCGTCGCGGCCGCTCGCGGTGGTGGGAGCCGCGGAGCTCCGTGGCCTTGGGCTCCCGTGGGGAATGCGCGTTTGCCATGAGGGGGAGGAGAGAGGCTTGTTTATCCCCGAGGGGGATGTCACGGCACGCACGCGCTTCTGAGGTGCTTTTATCTGGGGCTGCAGGGTTTCTCCTCTGCCTTTGCAGTGTCAGGCATCCCTCGGAATAATCGCCTGGTCCTGGCAGTTCTATAATTAATGAAGCTGGAGAGGGTTTTTTTGTGTCTTTGAACTCATCCTTTCAATAACACCAAAGGATTTCTGACACTCTTGCAGGGCTGAGCCAGATGTTTGCTTTCTGTTGGAAACAAAGATCTGGGAATCTGCGCAGCGCTTCTAAGGGGGAAGCGCCCGCGGGCTCTGCCGGCTGTGGGCTCATGCCTGGGGTCACGCTCTGTGTTGAGGACGTGGGCACGTCCAGGGGTGTGTGGTCACAGGAATCCGCATGGGGAGCAGGGTCGCTCCCAAGGCCCTGCCAGGTGCTCCCTGCTCCTGCGGGATGCGTCATTCTGGTCTCGCATTCTGGCGCAGAGAGGCTTTGCCGTGGCTGCCGCCAGAACGGGGCCGGTGACGATGGCACCGTGGAGGTCTGGGCTCGCTGTCAGAGGTGCCCGTTGCTGTGGTTGCAGCTCTGAGGACACGGGACGCCAACGTGGCCAAACAAGCATCCAACGTTGGAGAACCAGTGCAAGGGAGAGCTGGAGATCCATCTGCTCGTCCAGTCACCTCCGTGTGCCCGTGAGTGAGCGGGTGACTCGTAGCTGTACCCCTGTTCCGTGGAGGAGCTTCCCTTTGGTTGTGCAGCCCTCGCATGGGACTGCCCCCCTCTCCCTCCCTGTTCCCAGGAGTGAAGTGTGTGGCTGGGGCGGCTTGGCCTGTAAGCAGGGAACTGGCCCGGATCTCTGTCCTCCTTGATCCGAACAGGAGATCCCGAGAGAAAAAATAATTCCTCAAAATAAATGAAGGCTGGCTGTGCTCGCGGAGGAGATTTGCTCTCACCATCATGGTCCCGGGCAAGCAAAATACCCCGAGCTGCTTCTGGTATCCGTATCTGTGCTGCCCAGCACGTGCTGCTGTCCAGGGGATGGAGCGTGCTGGGGTAGTTTTACTTAAAACTCTTTTTTTTTTTTTTTTTTTCCTTTACCTGTTCTGTTCTTTACCTGTCATCTTTATCTATTCTGCAAGCTCTGCCCCTTGGGTATGGCTCTGGCTTCCTCGCACAATTACCAACTTCCTTAAGAACTGGATTCTGGGGTAGGGCGAGCAACTTGGGAGGCAGTGACTACAGGCAGTGCCCTTACTGGTGCAGGGAAAACATGTCATGAAGAGGCCGTTGTATCATTTGATCAATGAAACATCATGCGGAAGCATAACAGATTTATTTTATATTCAAGTGCAAACAGAATATCCCTTGGGGTAGCGCTTACGGACATCTGGATCTCGTATGAAACCGTTGCTTGATTTTATGGCTTGTAACACAGGTGAGGTTCACACTAGAAGCCCACCCCTGTCTCAGGTGTATTCTTCCAAGGCTAGGGCACCAAAAAGAACTTTCTCCATGAAAATGATGTCACTCAGCCTGCTATTCTGTAACCCCTTGGGTTCATTAATTCCAGTCTTGCACAGATGAATTGGATTAAGGACTTTTTTTTTTTTTCTTTTTTTTGAGAACTTTACTCTCCATTTGTAGTTTTCGTTTTGGAAGCACCTCTATGCTCGAGATACGATCATAGTATTGATATTGCAGGAATAGTGTTTACAATTCAAATACACTAATATAAAAAGGTAAAAATTTTGTTTATTGGATTTAAGATTCAGCATAAAAAGTCATTTTGCAATATCACTTAAATTTGTAAGACAATTAAGTGCACAAGAAAACTTTGCATCGTGTGTCTTCTTCCTAGCGTTTCTCTCTTCTAGGATGTATTTTGCAACTAGACTAAAGATAAACAGAAACACAATTTAAATATTCTTAAATTCCTCATGTCCTACATTGCTGCCCAAAAATATAGGGTGTTTTTTTCATTCTGCTGCCTAACTAGTTGGATTCTTCTTGTAGTAGCCATAATAAGACTTTTCTTATGGTCCATAATTTGGAACTAGTAACAACTGCTGATAATTAATGGCCTACAGACAGGTTGTTTTCCTCAGCAACCTCATTTGAACAGTATTATGAAAAAATAGGTGGTGTTTTAGTGAACTTCTGCTGACAGTCCTTCCATAACAGTTAGAATTTTGCTTGTTTGAACTTCTCGGAGCCGTCGGTCTCGCGAAGACCATGCAAGAATCGCTCTGCATTTGTTGAACGAACAAATCCGATGGAGACAGCTAAGAATGCCACGAAGCCGTGTGGGTTCCAGGCACGTTGAAGACGTCGGTTCGTGCAGGTGGGTGATAGATGAGGGAGAGCGTTACTGGGACTCCACCTCGTATTTGAGCACGTGTGAATAGAAGCTGTGGTTGGCGTTCTCGTGCACCATCACGAACACCTCTGCGCAGCCAGACGTGTTGCAGGTGCCCTGCCAGTAGCCGTCTCTGCTCGGCGTCAGCGGGTAGGTGCTCTCGGCTTGCACGAGCACCTTGGCGATCCCGTGCATCTTGAGCTTAAACTGCACGTTGCGCCCGGCCGGCAGCAGGCCCGAGAGCGGCTCCACCACCTCGTAGTCTTCCGCCCACTTGCTGTAGCTCTGTGGGAAGGCCGGCCACTTGACTTCCGTGTTCAGGCACGAGATGAGGTAGTTGAAGACGTAGTCGTAGTTGCCAGGATCCGACTTCTTCTTGGCGTAGATTTCCAGAACGAAGTCCCCTGCGTGGGGGAGGTGGATCTTGAGCTCGATCTGGTTCCCCCGGCGGATCTGCATGATGTGCCGCCGCCTCGCGTCCTCCGTGAGGCTGCTGTTATCGGAGTGCAGCGAGGCCAAGACGCTTATGTCCTTGCCCAGGGTGAAGGTGAGGGAACAGCGCCCGTCGTTGGTGTGGATGATGGGGTCCGGGTGCGACGGCCGCAGGAACCCTTGCCGCTCCGAGAACCAGCTTGGTCCAACGGGCTGGTGGAGGTCCTTCGGGAAGCGCGCGCTCTTGTCCACGGACTTGCACTCTATGACATACTCTAACACGCAGTTGTAGACATCGTCAGGGGCCTTGGAGGGCTTGGCAAAGATCTGCAGCTTGTGACTGCCTGTCTTCTGGGGGTAGATTTCCAGGCTCATTCCGTGTTTTTTCAAAGTCATTAAACCGTGCTCCTGTATTCCCCTCAGCTTAAAGGAAAACAGCATGGAGGAACGGGAATCCACCGAGATGGCTGCTTTTCCGTTCTCTGTGAAATACAAGAGAGAAAGAAAATGCGTGGGAGTTTTCCTCTGGAAGACTAACGTGTCACAGTGAATTGCCACTTCCCTCATTGGAAAATGGCCACAGCTTGTCAACTGTCCCCTTCAGTGAGCATCCTTCAGCAACTGCAAGGTGAAGAGCGGCTTTTGCTCAACCCAGGCCATCTCAAATTGCAAAATACAGACGTGTCTAATTTCCCCATAATGATACTGATGTTATGGTTGAGTCTTTCTTTGGCCCGGGGGCCACAGCAGTTTTTTTTTCAGCTTAAAAGCAAGTGACCAAGCAAAGCCTTTGACCCTCCTCTACCCAAGAGCCCAGGTGTGGTGCTGGCAACCCACTAACACGATGCTGGTCCGTGTCAGGCTCAGCGCTACCCCGAGGGCACGTGCAGCCTCCCCTCCGTTACCTGTGTGGATGATCCCCGTTGCTGGGTGTGCGGTGAGCAGGCCCAGCGTGTAGAAGTTGCTGTTGTGCAACATGTTGCGCTCGAAATCTTTCAGCGCCAGAGTTGGTTTAAGAAGCTGCCAGTTACTGTTGTCCGGGAAGTGGTTGTTAATGAATAGAGCCGGGTGGGTCAGAAAATAAAACTCATTGTACCTGCAACAAGAGGAAGAGATTAAAGGAAACGGAGGGACTATAAATAGCCAGTGCTGCTGGCAAGTGGTGGTGGTTTCAAGGGGGAGGAAACTGGAGTGTTTTTTGTCTGCTCAGAGTCCGAGAGTTTAAAATCCCTCCAGGCAGAGGAGGAACCTCAGTTCTGGTCTTCCATATCTGAGGAAAAGATGACTTTTTGGATAAAACCAGGGTGTTTGTGCTACCCCCTGCCACCATGTGCTCCTGCAGAAAGGCTGGGCTTGTTGTTTAAGTGTGGGGCAACCCCTTAGGTAGCTTTAGGAACACCCTCCATCCCCCGAGGAGGCAGCCGGGATGCCTTGCTCAGGGCTTTGGGTCTTGCTGTGGGGCCTAAAATTTGGCACTGCCTGTTCTTCACCCACCAGCCTTCCCTCCCCCTTTGTTTGTGGTAGGTTTGTGTGTTAACACAGAGATTGGTCCTTTACCTGAAGGTGAACTTGGTGAAGGAATCGTCCACGGAACCACTTCCCCAGGTGCTGTCGAGTAAGTGCCACCTTCCCTCGAGATAGACGGCGTTCCAGGCATGGTCAGAGTCCCCGGTAAAGGTCTGCCCCATCTTGTAGCCGTAGCCCTTAGAGTAGCCCGACAGCTTCATGCACTGGATTCCTGCAATGCTGAGAGGAAACAGTAAGATGTAGCGGGAGACTTTTATTTTAAGCCATTAAGGTACTTCTGTGGAAGGACGTGAGGACCAAAACCAGCACTTTTGTAGAACTTCAATTCTGTAGTCAACTGGGGCCAGGTCCATAATTTGAAGCTGAGCTTCAAGGGAGCTAGGGCCTTTAAATGTCTAAGTACACAAGCGTAATTCTTTCTGAAAACTCGACCCCTTGACTCTGGTGACAAACTAGATGTCCAGGTTATTCCGTGTTCTAATCTGTGGAAACCTGCCTGTTAAGTGGGACACTCATTCTTGATATGGTAATCTCTGTACTTTGTGCAGGGTTTCTTCTCATACCAATATCTGCACTGGCTTTTTGCTGGCTGTCCAGGGTGTAAGACTCCAGGCCCATCTCCTTCCAAGATTCCTGGAGGAAGATGACAACATGTGCTGAACTGCTTTTCATCTTGTCGCTCGGTGGAATCCCATCAACGCCGTCCACAATTAGCCCATGTAATTCCCAAATGAGGGTGTGTGTGTGCTCGCTCGTGCTCTCTGAAATGGTGGGCCCAGACGTTCGACTCCAGCGACTAAGACCCGAGACCTCACCGCACTGTAGGTGCTGGTTTAGCTTCCTTCAAGAGTGAGCCTGCGCTTTCCCAGAGCATAACAAAAGTCTCATTATTTTCTGTTGTGAATGCCTGCTGATGTGTAAACAGTATTTAAACAAGCAGCATGTTAATAAGCCCTCTGCAGCTGAGAGCGCTTGATTCCAACGTTGGCATCTTATTTCAGCGCTGGTCTAAATTTGCTTCGCTTAGAGGATTGTTCCATGTAGGATGGCACTGATATTTTTTCTTTCCTGCTTCATTGAGAAGTGTGTTAAATGGAACAGCTCTCAAGTAATAAACTGTGCAGAGCAAGTTTATCTGCAAAATGTGGGTTTGACGCGGTGCGAAGAAAGGCGATGCGAATGGGGAAGACAAGTAGCGCGCTCTGAAGCGACGGGCAGATGCTTGGCTGGTGCCAGGCACTTTTGAGAAGTCTAGGGCTGATAACTGAGACGCTGGCTAGGAAGGCGCAGGGCGGCCGTGTTCCTAGGGAATACCTCATTTTCCATGGAGAAGATGCCGCTTTAAAGGGGAGGTTGTCACGTAGGCCTAACCTACAGATGTACTAAACTCAAGCCTTGGAATTCAAGGTGAATAGGCCAAGACTGGGAGGAATTCCATGGAGAAACCTGCTAGTGGGGTCGTTCATGCAGCCTCTGCCTGCCCTCGGTTCCTCGTGAGCCAAATTCTAGGATGGAACCGGGCAGTTAATCTGGAGCAACTCCCCGGTGTGACTGAGGAGAGCTCGGATTTACACAGAGTGATTGAGAGAGGAGCCAGGCGAGGGGTTTTAAGGCAGGTTTGATCCTAGGAGTTTGAAAGAGGCCTAGCAGGAGCTAAGCATGAAATTCTCACTAATTCCCTGGGGATTGGCACCTAATCCTGCCAGGCTCCTCCAGGCATTCTCCTTGGTGCGTAATCAAGTAGAATATTAAGGATCAAGACCTGCTCTTCGCTCTTACTTGATGTTAGTGAGGCTGAATCAGTGGTTTGGTCTTGGATGGGCTCAAAGTTCCCAGGAGAAAGGTTAAGCATCTTCATAACAGGCTCGTTAAGGGTATTGGACCAAAACCCAGCCCAAAAACGTCCTTGTAAGAACAGTCGACGAAGATCTACAGAAATGCTTGAAGAGGGAGATCTGGTGATGGCTGATGACCTAAGCATGTGCTGCAGGAGAACTGGTCCGTATGGTGTACCGGGATGGTTGAAGGCTAAGCTGCTCTCCGGCTTAGAGGAGTGGGAAATAACCTAGATCCTGTTGCAAGGGTCTCTTTAAAATTCAACAGCACCTTCTTCCTTTTGATTTCAGCTTTGGATTTGATTTTGCCTGAAGCTCTGGCTTGTCCAGAGGGAGACTGAAGGGTTTTACTTGTGCTGGGTACTCATATGATCCCGTGACCGCAAGGAAAGGGGCACTTGCTCCCCCCAGAGGGGCCACAAGCAGGAAGAGGTGGAGGCTGGATGACTTGCAGGTAATTGGAGATAAGGAGCTGCTCCTTGGCCAGATCCACCTGCAGCCACTTTGGCTGCTAAAGATGCGCAAACGCTGCAAGTGCAAACCATGGCTTTGCCTTCAGAGCTACGAGTTAACGAGTTCCCCCTGTGTCCATGTAGGGGTCCCTCGAGCTCAAGCGATGCATTTCCCCTCCTTGATTCCCTCAGTCAGGCTGCCTCCTGGAGCCTGCTTCTCGCTTGAGAGGACACATTTTGACAAATGCTCCCAAACTACTGCTCCGAAATTTGTTTACGTTCATTTCTGCTAGGGCTGATGTTTGGAAACTGAGGTTTTGTGACCAGCTGCCCATTATAACTGCCCACCTTTCCTCGCTGCCGGAACTCCGAGCTAATCAGAAGGAATTTGGCTGCCGGAGCAGCAGCCGGAGGTGACAGTGTCCTGTTTGCAACAGCAGCTCGATTAGGGCTCCATCAGTGTCAACCACTGACTTTAGCAGGAACTTTGGGAGGCTCCTGGCAATTGGAAAATGGAGCTGTTGGTTAAAGTCACCTCTACAGGAGCTAGGAAAAAAGAAAGGCAAAATAAAAGACCCCCTTTCCCCCCACTCCTAAACCTTTAAATAGGAAGGCAGCTCTTTGCATCCTGCATTTATGCTGAGCCTCAGCACAAGACTTGAACAGTGTGCAACAAGAGATAATGCGGGGGTCCTCTCGCATGAATGAGATGTCTTTGCTTATAGCTTTCCAGCAGAGGAATCTATGGCATAAACATTTTTCTTTTTTTTTTTCCCCTCCAAAATAATAGATTGGAAGGCGGGGAGCTTTTCTGAATGACAAAATGAAGAGTCATCCTGGAACTGAGGAATTAAGGAGAGTAAAATGAGCAGAGTTTTTAGACAGTAAAAAGTATCCTTGAAAAGATCACGTTTTATCCATGAACTAAGCATATGCTCCTTAATGAACAGATGCTAATTTCCCCGACTTTTTCTAATTGCTGTTTCCTAAGATGCAGTTATAAATTCAGACTTGATGATCCTATTTCTTTCTTTATTTTTCTCTCTGGAAAGCAAGATCAGATATTAGGAGATGGTGCTGGCTGGAAGTGCTTAACCATATCAGCAGCTGGCACATATTGTAAAAACATATATGTAGCCTTTTCCCTGCAAATTTTGTTTGTTTAATAGTGGAAAATCTCCCCCAAATCAGCCATCAGATCCAGGCTTCTCCTTCTAGACAGCCCTCTAACGCAACGCTCGTCCCACGCTTGACGGGCCCCTTGGTTGCTGCTCCGCACGGCTCTTCCAAGCCAACGTACTGAGACCTCAGCGGTGGAGACAGGGAGCCCCGAAGGCAGCGAGGAGAGCAGGAGGGAGCAGGGGCTGTGCAGGAGAGCTGGGAAAGCTCCTCCTGGGCCACCCCGCATCTCTTGCGTGGCCACGCTCCCTGTTGTTTGCATTCCTTGTTGCTTGCACATCTTCACCCTCGACGTGAAAAGCCGAGCCTCTTGTAACCGCCCGAGCGCCACGTCTGCGTCTGCTGTTACGTTAATGCGACGCGAAGCTCGGCAGATGGCACCAAGTAAATTATGCTGGGGCGGAGGAGAAGCAGCATCGACCTGTGTGGGACTTGCTGCGGATTGGCAGCCTGGCTTGGAAGCTCAAGCTCCAAGTCCTGCTTGAAGTCACGCTAGGCAGCATGAAGGCAGACGGAATATGCGCAGAGATGGCCATGGCTGTTAACTCTGAATGTTTTGGAGCTTAATTTACCTGCACATTTGCTCGAAGAGCTCGGCGTATCCCTCGCAAATGCTCTTCCCCGCGTGCAGCACGTCTATGGCCTTGCACGACAGCTGGCTCTTGTTGTGGTAGCCCACCACGTCGTACTCTGCGGGAGGAGCACAGGCCAAAGCTCAGCCAAGAGCGAGGCAGCAGGGCCGGCGCGCGGCAGCAGCAACAACGCTGCTGTCTAATGTTACTGCCTTGAGCCTTTCGCACTTTAAACAAGACATTTATACGACAAATCACCTGGAAAGGCTCTGGTTGGCAAGTACCTGAAATGGCTTATTGTAGGCGAGTCGTATCTCAGCACAGGCAGGGCGTTAATACAGGGCAAGTTAGGAAATCTCCCTTTGAATGAATGCAAAGCAGCAGCGCAGCAGGGATCCTTCAAACACAGCTTGAGAAACTGGTCTGGGAAGGTTAACTCAATACTT